GAGCGGCACCCGCTTCGGCCTCCCCTTGGGCGGCTTCTTCAGCTGCCAGGCCGGCAACCCTTTGGCCGGGCCGCTGAAGGGACAGAGCCCCGGGCTCCTGCAGGATTTCTTCTACCAGGACTCTGCCACTGCCTACCCCATGAAGTGCCCCCAGGGGTACAGCCAGCACAAGGCCTATCTGAGCGACGGCTGCCAGGTCCTCTACTGCCTCCAGGCGGGGACCCTCTTCGCCCAGCAGCTGGCTCCCATCAAGCTCCCCCCTTTCTGCCGCCGGCCTGCCCCCAACGCCAGTGCAGCCGAGACCATCCTGGTGCGAGGGGAGGGCAGCCAGGCCTGGGTGAAGCTGCAGGGCAGCGAGCATTGGCGGCCAGCCAACGCCACCGATGAGCAAGAGATGGCCCAGCTCTTCCAGGCTCAGCCCCGCAGGGGGCCCACAGGGGGCGCCGTGGCTGGCATCTCCGTGGCCGTGACGCTTGTGTTGGCAGTGGCTATCGCGGTGGCTGTCTATGGCGCCCGGCGGTACAAGAACAGGGGGTACCAGGAGGTGCAGCCCGGCTGCCTAGCAGAAGAGCAAGGGAGCTACGGCACCACCGCGACGTCTCTGGGGCCCGGCTCAGCCTGAGGACCCCTGGACTGGGCCATAGCTGAGTGGCCTGCACCCCGCGGGGGGTGGCAAGGTAGTGGCTTTCAATCACGAGTGCATTAGCGTTGCAGGCTGGTTCAGGCACCTTTCTGGGGAAGGAGCCCCCTGGCGCTGGACCAGAACCGGGACTCCACTAGCCATTGGAAGGGGGCTCCTATGTTTGGCCAGCAGGGGGCACCGTTCCCCCACCAACCGGGACAAAGGAAAGTAGGTGCCGGGCAGTAGGGAAAAAAAAATCAACCTCTTAAAGGGGAGGGGGCTCTGGGTACGTACGGACCCCAGGTACAAAAAGCCTGAGAGTGATTAAAATAGTGTGTGGGGGAAGTTGTGTGTGTTTCAGCTTCCTGGGTGTGGTGGGGTCAAGGCTCTGAGCGTTTCCCCAGCCCCCAGGGTTGGCAGCTTTATGAAAAGAAGGAAAGCTGAGAATCTGGGGACTCTTGGGACCCCAAGAGCTGGGTCTTGAGGAACGCACTCACCAGTGCAACGAAACCAGCCAGGTTCGGCCATGCAGGGATCCCCCCGCCCCACCAGCCCCGAGCAGCCTCAAGTGGATTCTGAGCCTAGCCAGAGACCTCCCCCCCAACTCAAAACAGTCCCACCTCTCTCTTGGGGCCTGTCCTCCTGCCCTGCAGCCACCCACAAGCCATTGCTGGGGGGGGGGGGCAGGCCTGAGGTGGGAGCCCCTTTCCAGCAATGCTGCTCTTCCAGACAGAGTAAAACCGGGGGATCTGACAGTGGGGGAGTGGGGGGAGATTGTGGTAGGTTCGGGGCAGGGCCCAGGTTACTTGTCAGTTTGCAGGAAGGTCGGGGCAGTGCTGGGGAGTGGAGGGGTCTGGGGGAGGGGGGAAGGGGATGTTGAGGATCAGATGGACTTTCAGTTGACATCAGTTTGGGGAGGTGGGAGCCAGCTGTGGGGGCTGGTGGGGAAACGGCGAGGGGCCGGAGTTTGAAAGGGGATAATGGGAGGCACGGGCTGGTGGGGAGGGGAGGGGGTAGAATTAGCCCAGACGGCAGTGCGCGAAGGGTTAACATTCCAGACTCACCCAACCCAGCAGTTTAGGGACTTTCAGTTCGATTTTTTCTCGCTTCCTTTTTGGTTCGCTGGGTCTTCAGATGTGTATGCGGCCGGGACCAACGGGCTGTAATTTGGGGCAGGGAGGGCCCAGCTCAGAGCCAATTGCATTGCCACACAGCTGCCCTTACATCTCTTCCCAACAGAGCGGAGCGTGGGCCTGTCTCCACCCACCCTCTGGTCAGGCCCGGTTGGGTTTTCACTAAACTAATAAATGGTGTGTGTCCCTCCAGCAGGCAGCACGGGCTAGTGGTTAGGGTGGAGAGAGCTGGGAAGCAGGCGTTTGCCACTACTCCCAACGCTGAGCTACCCAGTAGCCTCGACTCCCATTCCCGTGCCTCAGTTTCCCCCATTACCCATGGACTGACACTTGGGCAGGGCTGGGAGGGCGATTCACTCCTGAGGCTCGTAAAGTGTTTTGAAAAGTGGCGTTACAGTCAGGGACAAAAATGAGAAAACCTCCTCCTGGCCAAGGCAAATCACTCCAAGGTTCCCCTCTAAGAAGCAGAGATGGGATGAGATTGCCAGTTACTCTGCGCAGCACTGAGGGCTGGCTGTGCCCTGCCCCTTCCAGGAGCATGGAGCCGGGCCCCACCCATCTTGCCAAGAGGACTGGCACAGCTGGCAGCTCCCCTGCAGACCCCCAAGCTTCTCAGGTCACTATTAAAATAGCTCCATTGGTCATTCCGTCAGCACAGAGATTACATAATTCCGGCCACTTTTTTTTTTTCAAAAAGGAAAAAAAAAATCAGTCGCCTGCAACCTCACGTGCGTCAAAATAGGCACTAGAACAGGTGGGTCACACAGCGCAACACCAGCCCGGGGAGATGAATAGAGTCTAAAGGGGAGACAAGGCCCGTGTGTGGCTGGGGCCGTCTTACCTCTTTATAGAAACACACATGGATAGCACCTGTTTAAGGACATAAGAATGGTGAGACCAAAGGTCCATCTAGCCCAGTGTCCTGTCTTCCCACAGTGGCTGATGCCAGGTGCCCTAAAGGGAATGAACAGAATAGGAAATCCTCAAGTTATCTGCCCTCCCCCCATCACCCATTCCCCTCTTCTAACAGAGGCTAGAGACACCCTTCCTGCCCATCCTGGCTAATAGATTCATGGAGGATAGGTCCGTCAATGGCTATCTAGTTTTTTTGGAACCCTGTTAAAACCCTGGTCTTCACAACATCCTGTGACAAGGAGTTCCACAGGTTGACTGCACAGCACGAAGAAGCACCTTTTTGTTTGTTTTAAACCTGCTGCCTATTAATTTCATTTGGTGACCCCTAGTTCTTATGTTATGGAAACAAGTACATAACTTTTCCTTATTCACTTTCTCCACACCACTCATGATTTTATAGATTTCCATCATATTTCCCCCTTAGGCTCCTCTTTTCTAAGCTGAAAAGTTCCAGCCTCAGAGGGCTATTTTTTTTCTGCTTGCGCTTTACCTTAAAAATATCAGGCTCAAAGTTGGGGGCCTGGTTGTGCAGAACAGCTGGAAGAAAGGTCCAGGTCTGGATTTGCAGCTCTCAGATGGATTTATTTATTTTAACTCAGAGCTCTTCTCTCCTACTTGTTTGCAAAGTGCTTGAGTTAAATACATGCTTTTAAAAAAGCCAAACCAAAACCCACACTCTCACTTCTTTCCATGACTAATCTGGATCTCACACATCAGACCCCACCCCTGCTCTCCATCCATTCAGGGAGACAGCCAGGAAAAGCAGCACACATGAAACAACACACTTTTCGAGCCTTTGGGATGCTGCTCTTGCCTCGTCTCTGGGGCGGCTGCAGAAGGAGGTGAGGGGGAGGCTGAGAACACTCTTCCTGGGAACGGGTGGAACTTACTGAGGCTGCACAGAACAGCCACAGCAGGGCTCTCCTGGCAACTGCTCCTCCCTGTTCAGAGCTCCGGGGAGGGAGAATCACCCCAAAACAGCCACAACGGGGGGCTCACAGCTGGGACCAGGGGGATCTCCATTCTCCTGTGACTGATGCAAGCGTCTCATGGGGCCGGTCCCACTGCCAGGCCTTGGGCTCAGCACCTGGGCGATGGGGATCGGGTGGGGAAAGGGCGTAAGGTCCTAGCCAGATGGTTCGCAAGGGGCAGCTCCTCCAGCCACCTGCCCTGCAGCATGGATCTGCCGCTCACTTGACCTTCACACCCTGGCAGCATCCACCCCTGGGGTTTAGCCTGCTGCCCCTCACTGTAGCATCTGGGCCTCTCCTCCCCAGAAGCTGCTCCACAGCTCAACTGCAGCTTGCCCCCTCCCAACGGCAAGCAAACGGGGCCATGGCCTCCCAGGCTGCCAGACGGGGAGCACCTCCCGTCTCCCCTCCCCCCACTTCTCTGAACACTTTGCTGACCCTCCCCATCTTCCGAGCCAAAGGAAAGGGGAGGGGGCAGGGAGCTCAGAGGTTTGAGTCCCCCCTAGCCCTATCTTGGGCAGTGCCTGCTTGTGCCTGCCCCTCCCCTGACAGAGCCAACAGGGGTGGCTGGGAATAGGTTCCTCCTACAGCCCCTGGCTGCCGTGTCTGGGGTATCCTGCCCAGACTCCCCATCTGTGCCAGAGCCAAGGGCACAGCCCCCCACCCCACTCCTGGGCTTTGTAAAGGGAAGGGGAAGGCCCCATCTGCCTCAGGGCAGGTTCTTCATTCTGCCTGGACCTGGCACCCACGGGCAGGGCCAGACCCTGGGCTGTGCGTGGCCACCTGGTGCAGGTCCCGCACGGTCCGCACCGCCCAGTGGGCCAGCTCCTGCAGCACCTTCAGCCCCCGCAGCTTCATCTGGAACAAGCTGAGACCACCCAGGGCCGGCGGGCCGGCCGCCTCCCAGGCCAACCTGTCGCACCCCAGCAGCTCCTCCAGCTGGCGGGCCAGGGCCTGCACCTGCAGCAGGACGGAGTGGATGGAAGCGTGGAAGTCTGTGTCCAGGGGGGTCAGGTGAGTCCTCTGTTCCTCCAGGACCTCGCCCAGCAGCGCCTGGAATGCCCGGTAGGCCTGCAGGCCGGCACCCAGCCGCTCCGCTGCTGTCATCTCGCCCTCTGGCTGCGTGGCAGCACTCGGCACACCGTCCACCGAGTCCAGGCAGATGGTCCTGTCCAGCCCCTGCTTCTCCACCTGGGGTGAGGTTCAGTTAGAGAACAATCAGTCCCCCACTTTCCCCCGTCAGCCCCACCTGCCCTGTACACCCTATCACCCCCAAAACACTCACTCCACTGCAGCCGCCCTTCCCCGGCCCAACGCGGTCACTTCCCCTTCCCACCCCACCCACTCGCTCCTCTCCAGTTAACCAGAATCCATCTCAGGGCAAAGGGAAATCCCAGCGGTGCGGCAACAGACTTTTTAGGCACCTCTTGGTCAGCGTTTTCACAAGGCTCTGATGTATCTTGTACAAAATACGCCTGGTGCGGCATCACTTAAAAACTCCCTTTGCTGCCCATTTATTGTCTGGGTAAGAAGTGTGGCAACAGGGATCTTGTGAGGTCATCAAGTCCAGTCCCCTGCCCTCATGGCAGGACCCAGCACTGTCTAGACCATCCCTGATAGGCATTTATCTAACCTGCTCTTAAATATCTCCAGAGATGGAGATTCCACAACCTTCCTGGGCAATTTATTCCAGTGTTTCACCACTCTGACAGTTTAAGTTTTTCCTAATGTCCAATCTAAACCTCCCTTGCTGCAGTTTAAGCCCATTGCTTCTTGTCCTATCTGCAGAGGCCAAGGAAAACAATTTTTCTCCCTCCTCCTTGTAACACCCTTTTAGGTACTTGAAAACTTCTATTGTGTCCCTCTCAGTCTTCTCTTATTCCAATTATTTTAGTCTTCCTTCATAGTGCATGTTTTCTAGACCTTTCATTATTTTTGTTGCTCTTCTCTGGAGCCTGTCCAGTTTCTCCACATCTTTCCTGAAACGTGGAGCCCAGCTAGTGAAACAACCCTTCTGTGGCGGGGAGAAAGAGGGACAATAGGAAAACTGGGAGCTTCTGTGTAACTAGATTGCCTCCTGCCTCAATGCCAGCCAGAGGTCGTTCTCAAAGAGGGGAGAAGGGAGGGGACACACAACCAGTGTTCCCTCTAAGCTGTGCACTTGTGCAGGTGCTCAGGAGAGGTTCAACTGCTGCCCACCCGCTGAGCAGAGCATCCGCTGCTAGGTTTTGGTTTCTACTGGTGGTGCACATTTGCACATGCCTCAGTGCACATCGAAAACATTATTCTGCACCTGGATAGAAAAGATTAAAGGGCACATTGCACACAACACAAATCACCACTCTCTCCCTATCTCTACTCAGGACAGCTACAACACTTGGAAGACACAGGAAACATCTTTGAACTGGGGGATGGGTCCTGGCTGGGAGGCTTTTCTGCTGGAAGCTTAGAGTGAGAAAAATCAATCTTTTGGTTTTAAGTTGCTCCAGCTTGTTAAATGAAGTATTACCGTATTTTAGCACATATAACCCACAGGTTATATGCATTTTTACAAACCCTGCCCCCTGCGGGGTATACAATTTTGTTTTACTCACCTGGTGAGTTCCTGTGCAGCCGCCAGCCTCCGGGCAGGGGAGCGCTCATCCCCCGGTTCCCGCACAGCCGCAGGAACCAGGGGGATGAGCGTTCCCCCACCCGGAGGCTACGCAGGCACTGGGTGGTGAGTACCCGCAGGAACCAGGGCGTTTAGGCTGGCTAATTCCCGCTGCCCCCCACCCCGGCACTGTAAATTAGCTAATATACCCTGGCACAGTTTGAAAGAAAAGTCTTGTATACCCTGTAGGTTATACTCATACACAGGGGATACCAGATTTTTTTTTTTTACTCAATTTGTAAAAACCGCAGGGTATATTTGGGTGTGGGGTATATTCGCTAAAATACGGTAATTGGTGTTTCACTGTTTCCCTTGTAACCAGTTCGGACTTTTATGCCTCATTACTTGTAATCACTGGAAATCTCTCTGCAGTTAGTACACTGGCTTTATGTAAACCAGTGTTTGGACTGAAGTGTTGGGAACCGCCCCTCGAGCGAACCGGGCCAGTGCATGTCATTTCCCATTGATGGAATGGCCGCCTAGGAGCTGGTCCCACGCCGTGGGCAGTCCAAGACATTCATTTCTGGGAAAGGACAGGGACTAGGCTGGTGTGCTCCTGTATGTACTTCACACGTGACTGGCCAGAGCGCTGGTGTAACACAGTGGGGGGATGGCGCTAAGCAAGCTAGAGGCTGCATGTGAACGGACCAGAAGCGATTGTTTGCACAACAGAGCAGTACACAAGGCACTCCAAGTTGGCGCAGTGAGAGGACGCAGCTGTCCAGATTGTACCCTGGGGCAGGTCAATAACCCATCCCTCATGCCCTGTGCCAGAGCAGGGCAGGGCTTAGGAAGGAAAGGGGAACTTTATTAGGAACCAGAACTTGGTTGCTACAATCAAAGCCCTGGGCCTTGGCTGCTCCACACTGGAGAATAGAGACATGAGCAAGGAGACAGTTTACAAAAGACAAAGCAGCCTGCCCCTCACCCAGCCCTGTTCTCTCCAGTTTGCCCCAGATAGCCCTTAGCAGGGACCACTAGTGGGTAGCCACTGGCCAACCTGTGTCCCTGAGCCACGAGCTGGATCTACTTTAGTATCCTCTGACAGAGGCTGGTTCTTTAGCTTAAGATGGAGCAGGCCCTGCTTTTAGCCCTAGAAGTCGCTGATTCAAGCCCTGGTCTGTCAAAACAGCAGCCAGCCCCTAGGTTGATGCCCAACCTAGGCTGATGACTGGGGGGCACATGAGCGGCCCTTCCTCTCACCGGACTGCAAGATTGTCATAACCAAGACGGGCTCCTGGGACAGGGCAGTTTTGTTCACTGTGCTTGTGTGCCTAGAACTTATGGGCAGTGCTGATTGACCCCTGGGCTATGTCTACACTGGTGCGATCTTGCGCCACAAATATGCAAATGAGGCTAAGCGTGGAATATCGCCAAGCCTCATTTGCATAGCTAATGAGCCACCATTTTTGCAGAAGAGGCTCTTGCACAAGGAGGATCTGCACTGCCCCCTCTTGTGCAATGCCGCCACGCTGATTATTTTCAGGAATAAACGGCATTGTGCAAGTGGGTTTTTCTTGCGCAAGAAGGGGCCGTGTAGAGCCTCTTCTGCAAAAATGGTGGCTCATTAGATATGCAAATGAGGCTCAGCGATATTCCATGCTTAGCCTCAGTTGCATATTTCTGGCGCAAGATCGCGCCAGTGTAGACAAAGCCCAGCAGTGCTGTGATTGGATGCACAGAGCACGCATGGCTCTTACAGTCCGTGTCGTGAACAATCAGCAGGCACTTCACACAACCTTGCTTTAACTGGCTGTCACTTTAGTAATCACACTGGTGGAAAAAGCTACATTGATGGAAGCCAAGGGAATCGGGCAACCATACTCATGGGCAATGGAAAACCAAACATCTCATGGGCCACACTCAGCAGCCTGCGGACCAGAGGGTGCCCAGCATTGCTCTAGGAGCTGCCCATAGTGGTACTGGTCAAACATCCTGGACAGGGGAGACGCACACATTTGGGGAGGTGGAACTGGATAATTTTTGCACATCTCCCCTGGCCACAGCATCACCCTTGGCTGGTCAGGCCATCCCAGGATGCCTGGATGGGAATTTCAAGGAGAGGTTACGTTGCCTCTATTTGGCACTGGTAGAATCACAGGGTCTGGATCGATAGCCCACAACTCCAGAAGGATGCTGATCCATTGGAGAGGGGTCACAGAAGAGCTGGGAGAATAATTAAGGGTTTGGAAAACCTGGCTTCGTGTGACCAGTCTCCAGGAGGAAAAATCATTTAGCTGAGCAGAGAAGGAGAAGAGATGAATTTATTTGGGTCCACAAGTCTGTGGACTGGGAACAGATATTTATTATGGGCTAAACGAGAAAGTTCTAACCCCCTCCAAGAGCTGCAAGGTGAGGCTAGAATCCTGTATGATCAGCCACTGGAACAATTTAGGGTGCAGTGGATGCTCCAAGCACTGACAGATGCTTTGTTCCAAGCTCTGCTCTAAGAATAGTTTGGGGCAGGTCCCTGGCCTGTGTTTTGCAGACTAGTTCACAGTGGTTCCTTCGCCGGTTGGAATCTTATGAATTGAATTGACTCCTTGCCTGAGCAAGCATCAAATCAATGCAAAAGCAAAACGGCAAAGATCCTGCAGGAGTTGCCCTAGAGCTGGCTAGAAAACCAGTCAGGAGTATCTAAGGATGGTGTGAGGACTGGGGGGAATGTACCCCAAGGCTTTGCCAGACTCAGCACCCAGTGGCCCCGGGCTTGTGTGATAGCCCCAGCCTACAGCACCGGGGAGAAAGGGATTCAGACTCATGAGCCATCCGGGCTGCTTCCTTCTAGCAGGACCCACAAGGTGGCCCCATACCAGAGGTACCTTGAATATTAATATTCATCTTTCCCAGTCAAGCTTGGTTGAGACAAACCCAAGGTCCTTCCCTGGAGCTTAGACCCAGACCCTGCCTGAATTCCCACACTGCACACAACAGCCTGTGGACATAGGCCAGCGGAGGCCCTCTCAAATGCTGAGCACAGGGAGCATGGTCCATGTCCTTGGACCCTGATCCAGGTGAGGCCAGAGCAGCTTTCAGCTTGTTAGTTCGATCCCCGCAAGGGGGCACGAGACACATGCTCTTAAGCACCAGCCATGTTCTACCTTAGGAGGTGCTCGGTTTCTGCTTCAAAGGGATAGAACAGAACCTGCCCTAAAGGGGCAGAAGGAAGGAGAGGACCCTGGGTCGTCCGAAGCGGATGGAGGGGGCGTTAATTACTCATCTCCCTAGCAGCAGGGAGAGGGGGGAAACACAGGACGAATTCGGTCTATACCCTGCATTCTAGAGGCTCCAGCCCCTTTACTCACCCCCAGGGTTCTGTCTGCTGGCTGACCAGATTCCCTCCCACTCCTTCCTGCTCATCAAAGGCAGCGTTGGTGCAAAAGGTGCCACCTTACATGGCCGCCAGGCGAAATGTCAGTTCTAGCAGCCAAGGGATTGGCGCAAGAGGGGGAGACTCACGTAGGACTCCAGGAGGCTGGCCACGTCACCGTGGATCTTCCTGGCCAGGAGGATGGTGCGGTTGTAGAGTTTGTGGTGGTGGAGGGTCACAGGGTTTTGCTCAGCTGAAGCCATAACACCAGCCAGCCGTCCTAGATGTTGACAGCAGCTGAGCTGAAGGGATCATATAGGGCTGTTTGCACCACGGCCAAGCCAGAAAAATCCCTTGTTTAGCTCGCACATTCCAGCTCTTGAGAGCATTAGCCACTCACGTGCCTCTCCCCACCCCCACCCTTTCTGCCTCCATGGCCTGGGGAGAGCACGAATGTGTCTGCGCTAAAGGTCAACAAAGGCGGATTTTTCATTTCTTACCATGTCTCTCTTCCATGCTGTGTCAAGCTGCCTGGCCCAGAATCAGTCCCCCATTCCATCTGTCCGTCCACCCTCCCCTACAGCTCCCTCCTCTCCACAACTCTGCATCTGTCCCTCAACTTGTATACCAGGGTAGTCTATTTCATTTTGTCAACATCCACATTTCTGGTCAAGGTAGAGTCAAGGTCCAGACTCCAGAGAAAACAAAAAGCAATTGTAAGTCAGTAAGATTCTGAGGTCTGTTCAAAAGCATTGGGCAGTCTGGATTCGGCCTGTTGTCTGCCCAGTCACTAACTCTGTCATACATGGTTGTCAAATGAGTCTCCTGCTAATCCCCCATTGCAGCTATATCTACACTGTGGCTTTCAAACAGCAATTTGCGTAAATTTTTCCACTTCTGCCCATCTACATGGGGCCAGCTGTCAGGGAAAAAACCTCCTCTTTCTGAAGATCCCTTATTCCTCATAAAACGAGGAATACGGGGATGCCAAAAGAACGTGCCGGCTTTTTCAGAAACTGTTCTGAAAAAGTGGATGCGTTCTCTGGACGAAAACTCTGCAGTCTAGACATAGCCTGCGATTAGAGACAACAGTTGACAATTCATTATTTCCCCCATCCACTCTGTCCCGCCTGGGAAGTTGTCTTTCCCATTATACTGACCCATGTCTAGCACCCATAACCCTCTTTCTAGACCTGCAGGCATTTCTAGCTGTTAATCAAAGACAGACAAATCTCAGCCAGATAAATGAATGTAAGAGAAAATAAGAGTGCATTCCCCACCTCCACTTGATATTTCTTGTCCAGCAAAAGTGGTCTGATCAGAAGCCAGAGCCTGCAAAGCATTACACAGGGGTCAAGGGTATTAAAAATAGGTGTCTAAAAATAAGTGGCTTGATTTTCCAAGATGTTGAGCCCTTTGCTGCTCCCCACTGTGGTCCCCAGGAGCTAGTGGCAGCTCACTGGTGCTGAAAAATCAAGTCACCCTCTTTTACGTTGATTTTAAAATCTTGGCAAAGAGTCGGAGGATGTTTTCTACCCTCATGGGCCACTACTCTCCCCTTTCTCTTGTGCTGGGACGGGAGAGCACCACTCCTGGGCACCGCAGGCCTGTAGCCCATTGCTGAGGGCATATGCAGCCTTCCCCATTTCTGCACACCTGTCCTGAGCCTTGCTGGAGCCTGATGCTTTTGGTGATGGTAGGGCATCATCCTAGCCAGAAAACAGCCCCTGCATACAGCTCAGCTTCATTTCCAGATATTCTTGACCAGGATTCAAACGGGTGAGGCAAAGGAGAAAGCCCCACCCAGCTGGCATGGAACAAGTGGAC